AATATAATGAATGCAATTCAGATTTTTAAATTAAAATTCTTAATTTATTAATTTAAAATATAAAAGTTAAGGTTTATTCACTGTGCTCAGTTTAGCACTTGTTATATTTCATGTATTATATTGTTTCCTCCTAGATCACAAGCTCCTTTTCTTTTCCTGTATACAGTTTAGTGTAACAGACACATTTTAGCTGCTATGCATCCATGCCTTTCCTACAGAAACGGCCCTCCATCACTCCATGTAATTTAGGGACACTATCTTCTCAGCTGCATGCAAGGCTATATGAGTCTGAGTTACAATTCTGTCACATGCAATTCAAAGAAATAAAGCCCACCAATATATTTAATAAGTAGTTGAAGGTCCCCCATATAAAGAAAAAGCACATTTGATATTCACACACTAAATTTACTTTTAGAAAGTGAAGTAATTAATAGCACTGTTGTCTCATAGTAATTACCTTGTTTATGACTGGAATTATTGATAGCTGTGCTTCAAAGGCAAGAAAGAAGTTTGCTACAGTTTGGGCTTGAATACCCTGAAAATTCAAGACACAGGATTCTGAGATGCTCATTCTACCATCTATCACAAAATGTGTAATTCAAGACCATTCCACACATCATCAAAAGCAGAGGTATAAGACAAACTATGGTATATACTTCCATGCATATATTCTCTGTGAAATTCCTTTCACTTCAGGAAGCATTTATTGGAGGGAACTGTGTTAGGCATTAGAGACACAAAGGTGAAACACAGACCCTCAATGTCATCAAAGCCTATAGGATATAGTCATGTGATGCAGTTTATAAAGTCCGGTACTATGTATATAAGGTAGAGAATGACTTTCCCTGATAAAATCTGGGAAGGTTTAACACACACACACACACACACACACACACACAAAATCTCTGGATTCTGAATGAAGAGTATGTGAGAAACTGAATTTATCAAATGCTTATTTTAAGTAGCATATCATAGTTCTTATAGGGTCATCTGCTGCATATGCTTACGTGGTATGTTTATAACACAAAAGAAGTTGGTAATGTTACTGTCATGTTTTTTTAAACCTACCACTTCACATATTATTACCTTAAAATCACCCAAAATGACCTCAAAAATAAATATTTATTTTCAACTTCTGCTAAAAATTGATTATGGAAAACTCAGGTTAAGAACTGTTAAAAATTGAGGGTTTTGGTAGGATATATGCATGACATATTTCAACAAAAATTATAATTGAGCAATTCCTTTGATCAGCTTAAAAATTTTAAAAGATGAACTAGTCAATTTCACAAAAATGTTTTAGTGTAATAAACTTCAAATTAACAGGAACAAAGCCTATGATTTTGGTTAAGTAATAAAATAAATCTTATTTTTTTCAGACACAAAAATTCTATTTCCAAAACATATTTTAAGGAAAACATCTTGAAACAACCAAACAGTATGTTACAATATATAAAATTAAAGGTACCTGCCTCATTTGCATCAACCACAAGTAAAACACCTTGGCAAGCAGACAGTGACCTGGATACTTCATAACTAAAATCGACATGGCCCTGAGAAAAAAAAATATTAATACCTCTAAATGTTAGTTATAATTTTTTTAGGGAGAGGCATTATGGCAAATCTACTGACTCCCCTTGGTAAACAGTCAGTAGGTTTCTTCTGTTTAGCCCATGTTTGTGAAACAATTTACACTAACCTAAGAACAAAGAGAAAACAAAAGGCAAAGTTAGATGTTTACTGTTCAGTTCAGAAACTGAACAAGGATTTGTCTGCATTATTAATACAAGGCTCACTTTAACCATGCAGACAAAATTAATATTAAACTTACCGGTGTATCAATGAGATTTAAAAGGTACTGCTTTCCTTGACAATTATAGAAGAGAGATGCTGTTTGTGCTTTAACAGTTATTCCTCTTTCTCTTTCCACTTGCAATTTATCAAGAACTTGCTTGTTATTCTTTGTTTTATCAATTGTCCCTATAAAAAGAAACATAATATTTATATGGGCTTTTAAAAAGAAACTACTGCATATAAGATTAAAGCCCAATTTAAAAAGCATGATAAAAGTGATTATCATTGCTCACTGCCATCAATCTAATATATAAAATGAAAATACCTGTTAATTCCAGGAGCCTGTCAGCTAAAGTACTTTTGCCATGATCCACATGTGCAATGATACTGAAATTTCTAATATTTTCAACAGGGAATCTAGACATGTCAACTGTTTCCTGGAAAGGAGAAATATTACATTTATGACTACCAATTTCACACAATATGAAACAAGTATACTAATTCAAAGAATATTCTTTTAGTCTTCTTTGAAAACTTTCACTTATTGCATCTGTATTTATATTTTTATTCCTCTAACAATAAAATCATATATGGCTAAACTCAAATCATAAGCAATGGATTAGAATATGACTCATTAAATATGCTAGTTTCACTGTCAAAGGTGACTAGCTAAAAAAAAAAGTTCTTTATAATATTTCCACCACTTGGAAGATCAATGAGGAACTGAATTTATTTTCATAAATGAAGAACACAAGATACCTAAAACTCATGAACTGCCTTAGAACACAGGGTCTAAAAAAACTCTTGAGGGGAAAAAAAAGCTATAGGAAAGTTTGAAAAAAAGGAAACCCTTTGTCCCCATCACACATTTAATCACCACTTCGGTCTATTTAAAAATCTGTGCTCCCCATAGTGTGTTCAAAAATTTAATTTAGATATAATTTTGTTACTCAGCAACTTCTCTGAAGAGAGAAATATATCACATCAGCAAAAAAGGTTCCTATTTATTAACTTAAAATTCAAAAATATTTTAAAATTTAACTCCTGGTTTTTAGTTCACACATCTTCTTTAATTTTTACCAGGACTCATTACAAACTGCTAAAAATAAAAAATAAAACCACAAAAAACCCTGGTATTCAAGTAAAATATGTGAGCTTTGTGGTACTCTAAATATTTTATTTTCCAATAAAATCTGTATTTTATAATCAGCCCCCGCCCCCTAAATCTCATGAAATTACAATGAAATACAACATTCTCATGAGCTTTAAGTTTCCTTTATATGAATGCTCCAGAACAAGGCAGACAATAATGGTGCAATTCTATCTGAATAAAGAAATTCTGCAAAAAAACGAAAACTGATGTTTGCCTGTAAGATTTTTCCCCCCCACACCATTCAAGATATACAGGATTTCACAATATTTAAGAACTTCCAATTGCAATATACATTCATTTTAAATTCCAGTCATTTTAGAAATGGGCAAGGCTGATTAATTTTATGGAAAGTCTTATCTTTTCCAGTTACTCATAACTTGCAATCAATTACTTCACTTTTCTTTCTAAACTGTCTCCCTTTCTAGTTACCAGACAGTGTAAGTTTTCTGACCTGCCGAACCCCCACCCTCTTCAGCCACACGAACCGTCAGACTACACAGGCTTGCTTTGGCTGGAGTAAAACACGATACTGCAACGGGAGCTAAGGCATGCCTAGCACTTCTTATCGTGCAAGCCTCCCAAACAGGCATTCGATGTTTTATTAGTATCTCAACCAATAAATGAAGAAACATTCAGAGAAGGGTCACGTAGCTTGCCCAGGACACAAGGCTAATATATTACAAGAAAACTGAGATGACATTAGCAGCTTCCCCATTAGGATTTTAGGAGTAAAATCACAGATGCAGAGCGCTTAGCACACCGCCTCGCACAGACAATGAGTTAGTGACAGACATCTCAAACGAGGCTACGCAGGAAGTGACTTGTCCAAGGTCACACCGGTGACAGGTGGAAAATGCAGAAACCTAGGCGGCGCCCGCGCTGTCAGCCCCGCCTCCAGATGGCAGCCCGCGTTCCCGGGTAGCCCTTCAGACTCCAAACCCGCAACCTCTAATACCGGGCTAAGAGGAAACGAAGCGGCGGTCACCTTGCGCCCTGCAGAGCCGTAGGGCCTGTCTGGGGCCCAGGAGGCGCCCGCAGCCCGGCGAGTCCGCACGCGAGGAGGCCAGGGAGGCGCGGGACACGCGACCCGGGCGACCCACACGGCGAACGCGCGGCCGCGCCACCAGCCCCGACCCGCGAGGATCCGCATCCCCCCCGGGCGATGGAGGCGTCAGGGGAGGATCCCGGGACGCGACGGGGCCATCGCGCGCGGCGGGTTCTCTGCGAGACGCTGCGACGGGTGAGCGGCGAACACAACCCAACCAGACCCTCAGACGCCTAGGGCACCGGGCGCTAGCGGACCCGCCGGAACGCCGTAGACGGAGCGCCGCACGCCGACGTCCGCACGTCAAACGACGTCACGACGCTAGCGTGACCACGCGAGGGCGTGTGGAAGCCCTGTGCGGGGAGGCCCTCGCCTGCAGTGTTCGCTATACTCAGCCTCCGTTGTGAAGTAATGTTGTAACTGTTCTAAAATATGGAAGGCTAAATACATTCCCCGTGCTGTCGGCGGTATCGCTGATATTTAGCGCATCCGAAAGGAAACCGGCGGTAAAAGGATTGAAATGTAGCCTAGGAAAGTTTTGGCCGGAAGTGAAGGTGGGAAAAAGTTACACCCTGAATGTCCTCCTGTCTCCGTCTTCCTCAGGTCTCCACTTAAATGTTTACCTTGCAGACGGCCGGGCCCCGGCTAAGCAAGGTGGAGGGTGCTGGTAAGAGTTAACGGGATCTCGCACCCACTCTGCCTGGATTTTTCACGCTCTAGGGTTTGGTGCAGGGGACGGAGGTAGCCGCTGTGCTCAGTTGACCATCGTATTGTTTCCAGTTGCTTCTCGGAACTGCTATGAACCGTGACAGTACAGTACTTGATACCCCAGTAATTACTGTGACCTTTGTTAGAAAATGAACTTAAAAGCGACCTTAAAATGCAGTGCCCGGGATCCAGCCGGCAGCCTGCGGGCCTGGGACACGCCCCCCACGAGGCCACGCCGGCCGGCGCCAGCGCTGCGCCCCTTAATGTCACCTTCCCACTCTCCTCAGTTAACGTTCCCGACTTTGGTTTCGAAGGTACGTGTGCACATTGTGAGGGAAACTTAAGAAATCCAATGCATAGCTCCTTTTAACGGGCATTCCTAACTGTGGTCCTACGAAAGGGCAGCGAGGAGAAGGGGCGCCCCGCCAACCTCGCCGGGCTGGGGGCTCCCCCTCCGCCGGGGGGACCCCACCAGCGCTGCAGACAAAGCCTGGCAAACAGGGAGAGTGCAGTGGAAGTGCAACTGTATTAGTAAAGCTCGGTGTTTTTGTTCTTATTAGATAAGAATAAATGCTAACAGTAGTTCCGTTAGCTTCTGTGTTCCGCTGTACCTCGCTGCACCGTTCCCGGCAGATCGCCGAGTGAAGGACTGTGGTGCAAGAGCCGCTCTGCTCCTCTGTACCCGCCGTCCCTGGACGGCACCCGCGGTCACTGGCCGCGTCTCGTCCCTGCCCCTGCCCATGGCAGCAGAGGGGGAGGGGCCGTTCCCGGCATGCGCAGAACCATAATCAGCACGAACCTTCACCCCAACCCCCTTCGCCACATTTTCCCCCACCAGTCCCCTTTCCCATTAGGACTGACTTTCAGTATTATCAGAACACAGGAGGGGGTGGCAGGATTATCCCACTGATAGGTAGAAAAGCAGTATCCTTACAGTACAGGGATAGCTGCTCTTTAGGGTAAAACTTAACTCTCCAGGGGGCTTGAATAAAATTGTATTAAAGATATTATTTTGTTTCTGTGCACTACTTTCCCTAGATCGCGTTTGTAAATGAAAATATAGAAACTACGAAGTAGAGAGTTATCCTTAAAAAGGCCTACTCTGTTATCAGGCAATATTTAAGTAAATGTTCCATTAAGTTAAAGCTTTAGACTTTAAGTAGTCAGTGAGATCCTAGTGCCAAAAGAAGGTGGAGATGCTGTCTTATTAAATAGAAGTTCTATATTGACTGCTGGTCATTTTTTTCCAACTGCTGTGACTACTTTCATGCACTGAATATAATAAAATATTCAAGCTAAACTTGGAATGACTTGAAAAAAACCTTAATAATGGTATAATTGCAAAGGTATAATTATGGCAGAGCATTGGGAAGGATTTCACCTTTCATTGCTAAAAGCAATATAGCCAATATATAATTTCATCTTTACTGACTAGTATTTATGGGAGTTTGGCCAACATAATAAGTCTTATCTTGGCCTTTCTTAGCCTTTTTATTATTTTTTATTAAAAAGTAAGAGATGAATGCTGAAGAAATAGTTTATGTCTAATCACAATCTGTTTACATAACACAGAATTTGCAAATACACCTCCCACCTCCTTCTTTTGGTAAGATGGATTTTTCATATATATATATTTATGTAGTATCACAGTAGAGTTCACTAAAAAATATTTATGTGTAAAAATGGACACAAGAGTAAGTCAGAGACACAGACACCTGCTATTGATCCAACTTTGTTTTCACCTAGAAACATAATTATAATAGATAACACTTTCTGAGCATTTACTACTTGCCTCCACTGTGTTAATTGCTCCTGTTGCAAAATCCTGTCTAATTCTCATATTTTATACACTAGTTTATTTATATACATATATACACAGGTATAAATTATATATTTATTGGTTAATAACTTAGATATATTATGAAACTTATGGAAACATATAATTCAGTTGATGAGAAAAAGATAAAATAAATAGTCCCAAAGAGTAAGGTATAAATTTTATTCTTGTTTATAATTGAGGGGACTGAGGGTCCATGTGGTTAGATAACTTGTGGAGGAATTTATATAACTCCTAGGAAAGATTTTCTATAAAAATTAGTGATATAAGTCTGCTAAATGTATATAAATCAGATTTGTTATTACATTTAAAAATTATTATTATAGCAATATGATTACTAAGAATGTGCCACTCAGCTACTACTCATATCAATTTTCGTTACTAACATTTAGTTATGACCAAACCTAAAACTTGATTGTTCAGTAATAATTTTGTTAGATTCCAATTTTTTCTAAGAAAAAAGTGAAAGCTAACAAGAAATAGCAAAATTAAAAGTCAAAGATAATTATTGTAGTATTAATGAAGGAAAACCCTGTAATTTTTTTTTTTTTTTTGCCTTAGAACACAGTAAGCCCTTTAAAATTTATGCATTAAAACAGAATTTTATGCCCATTTTCATGTGACTGTGATATTCAGGGCTGCAGTTTCAGGCTCATAAAATAGAAGCAGTGTGGTTTTTAAAGGTCAGATGATCAGGAACAAATCTCAAGTGGTATTAACAAAAGGAGCATGTAGAGAATACTGACCAAAATGTATTTTTTTTTAAATAATGGAACACAGAATGTATTGCATTTTTTCCTGTCGTAATATGAGTAGAAATTTAAGTTTCAATGGAATCAATGTACACTAAATTGCAATACAGATTGCCAAAATAAATAATTACTCTCTAAACACTGGTAACCATTTCTCTGTTGGTAGAGGCAGAAAATGATGACATTTTCCTCTTGGTTCATTGGCAGCTTTGTTCAGCTGAAAATATGTAGTGGAGTTTGTGAATAAATATTACTTAGTGTTTCCAAACAGGTATATTCTTAACACCAGTATATTGGACAGCAATAGGTGGTTTTTTGAAAGAAACAGTCTGCGTAATGAAAGGAAACTGGACTGAATGCGAGAATTATTGTTCCAAACTGGATTCTGTCACATACTAGGTATGTGACTTTGCAAAAGTCACTTAGCCACTCTGAGCCTCCATATTCATATCAAAAGATTGCAGTAATAGATTTCATAATCTTATATGATTCTTAGATTGATACATGCCAAAAGAAATATGGGGTTCTAAGTGCGCAAAATTAAAAGTCGTGGTTATTCATCCATCCATCTGACCATTCATTCTTTAATTTAATACATATTTCTAGATAGTTTCTAAACTCATGTTAATATCATGTACTATATATATGTATATATGTGTTATTTTTTTCTTATTTTATAGTTTTTTTATTTTCAATTACAGTTGACATATATTATATTAGTTTCAGGTGTACACCCCGGTGATTAGACATTACATAACTCACTGAGTGATCATCCCAATAAATATTGCACCCATCTGACACCATGCATAGTTATTAGAAAATTGACTGTATTTCCTATGCTGTACCCTACATTCCCCCAACTGTTCTGTAACAACCAATTTGTACTTCTCAATCCCTTCACTTTTTTCACCCATGTATTGATTCGTACTGCATATTATTAGGAAACCTTGTCTAGATTGATTCTCATAGGCTATAAAGCACAAGAGGTTTCCTCTTACTTTCCATTGTTTGCCTCAAGTAAAAGATCCTAAGTCAGAGTTTAATGGGATGTGCCCACAAGGAAACGGAATCTACCATTTCAGTTTATCAAATTGTGTCTCTATGCCTTTCACTGTGTTTGTAAACTCTAACAAGTGTTATAAGATACTGTGTTTGGCTTTGGCTTTTGCAAGCATCTGTTGAGTGTCAGAGTCAAATTTAGAAACATATATTTATAGCCAGCCAGTCATCTTTTCACAAACTGGTTTGTCATAAATTTCTCTAGTAAAGAAACATTTGTTGGAGGATTTTTCAACATAAAGTAATTAAAGGTATGTGTCTGATCTTTTAAAAAAAACTTGGCATTTAAGCAAAATATAAAGCTGGGTTATGTAAGGACTCTAGTACCAATAGTCATATTACATAAAGCTTTGCATGTTATGAAAACTTGTATTCTCCAGTGAAATTATGCTCTATGCTTATAATAGCATTTTAATGGGCTGAGAAAGTTATGCTATTAAATTTTAAATTCTTTAAATTATAAGTTGTTAAAAGATTTAACATTCTTCTAGTCCTGATTTTAGCTTACATAATTTATAGCTACTTTAATACATATTACTAATGAAAAATCTTGATTTATTAAATCAGGGTATGAATCAGTGTATCTAATTTTAGAAAAGCTTTCTGTATTTTTACTGAAGTGAGAAAATTTGATATATTTGACAATTGTTACTCGAATATTTCTGATTAATGAGGCTCTTAGAGCTAAGCTGTTTATACAATGCCTTTGAAATGTATTATAAGTAGTAGTCCATAGATTACTATAAACATGGATTACACCTAGTGATTTTAAAATTTACTCTTTTTTTTTTCAATATATCTTTATTGATTTCAGAGAGCAGGAAGGACACGGAGAGAGAGAGAGATAGAAACATCAATGATGAGAGAGTCATTGATCAAGCCCACAACCGGGGCAAGAGCCCTGACTGGAAATCGAACCCGGATCCCCTGGATCCTAGGTCGATGCTCAACTGCTGAGCCACACCCGGCCAAGCTAAAATTTACTCTTTTAAAGAAAGAGTTTTTTAAAGAAAAGCAAAGATTAAAATGAATCAAATAATCATATCTGTCCAGTTGAAAAGACTCTCTACTGCATTCTCTAATTTTATCCAAAGAGTCAGCATTACCTTGCTATTACTTTCTTGCCCCATCTTTTGCCCCCTCTCAGTCTTTCTTATTCCCTCTGATATTGCTATTAGGCCTAAATCAAGATCATGTACCCCTTCATTGCCCAGAGTAGAAACGATATAGAGTTTATAGAAAGACAGAGTGATCCCTTAGCAGGACTGAGCCTTTTCCCTCTGATTCAGCCATAAGGGAGCAGAGAAGCTGTTCGCATACTTTAAATCTCCAGGAAAAGTCAAAATGAAATAGTGTTATTATTATCAGACATTTACTTCCTGACTTTGCAACAAGTATATATATATATATATGTATGTATGTGTGTGTATATATATATATATATATATATGCATGTATAAATGTAAAATTTGTAAACATAAATTATTATAGGTAATAATTAAAGTGAGGAACTAACATTGTTTAAAAGAAAACCTTCTAGATGTGTACCAAGTCTTAAACTTTTTCCTCTTAAACTGCTGAGAATAAGGTGTTCGGGGAGAAATGTTAGTTCTTTCAAATCGATTAAAGTCAGTGTAGTCAAAGTCACAGTCCTGATGAGCGTAAACGTCAGAATAGTTAATTGAAAATACACATTTAGTAAATGACTCTCTAGCATACATTTTCATATTCTTCCCCCAATACTTAATCTGCCCCAGCCAAAGAATACCTTGCTCTTTGATAGGAATCTACCCATCATCACATTGTCAATTAATCTTTGTAATATCTCAAAAGAAGTTTTATTGACTCCTCAACTTCTCAGTAAAAAACATTTTTATTTTTCAGGATGTCAAACTTGGGGCAATTTGACTCCGATTTTTACCAATCTAATTATACCATTGATAATCAGGAGCAGAGCTGTAATGGTTCAGATGCTTATGGAAATCCTTATGGGTCCAGAAAGTAAGTATTTTATATTGAAAAAATATGTTACCATTTTAAGAAGTAATAATATTATTGCAAGGGGTTCCAGGCAGAGAGGTTTCCTTGGAGGAAGCAAAAGCATGTCTTTGTAAAGTGCCCAAGAAGAAATGTCAAGGAAGGGCAGAGAAATGAACTCAGTTCTCCATGAATCCCCTTGATCACCTCAGACCCATTTATAGCTGAATGGCTTGACTCTCTTTTCAAAATATCACTTAATAAGAGAGTCTGAATACAGGGACTATATTCTCTGTGACACTGCTTGAAAAGCATATTTTATTCAATTTAATAAATATTTATTGAGTACCTGCTGTGTGTCAGGAATAAAAAAGGGCACTATAAACCCAAAAATAAGGGAGAAATTCATAATCTTTTACCTCACAACATTTAAGAATTTATGTTGTGGAGGTAGGCAGTTAAGTATGCTGTTATAACACAGTGTGAAAACTCCTAAGTGGAATGAAGATAAACATATTTCAGAATGTGTTAGTTATTTGAGTTGACAGTTCATCTTGAAGATAGATAAAAATGATTTAAGAATTTAGTATTTACCCTTTATTAGTGCCCAAAATACGGCATTGAGAGTGAGAAGAATTTGGTTCAAGTTCTGGCTCTTGCATGTGTTCTTCGTGACCTTGGGAAAGACAACTTCCCTGACTGGTGTCTTAACTGAGAAATAAGGACATTAATATTATCCACTTCATGACATTGTCATGAAGAACATTTGTGATAATGTGAAGGAAAGTAGGTGTTAAAGTAAAGCCTCTATATAAGTGTTACTTATTTATATAACTATAGGCTGCAAAAGTAATTGGCACTTTGTTGCCTAAAAACACCTAAACTTATTACGTTTGGTTATAGAGTTGTTTCTTTGGATGTCTTTTATGGGTCTAGATGAGTGAACTGTGAAAGGGTTAGACCTTTCAACTTTCATAATAACTACTGAGCTCTTACTATGTGTTAGGAACTGTTCATAGCTTTACATAAATTAACTCATTGGATTTTCAAACAACCCCGAGATAAGTACTATTATTATTCTATTTACACCTGAGAAACCAGGGATGCACAGAAATGAAGAAACTATTCAAAGTTCCATAGCTAATAAGAAATGGGGTCAGGATTTTAACCCAAGGTTGTTTGATTAGGCCCTTAACTAGAGTGAACATATGATTTATTGTAAAATCAAGACATTTTGGAAACAAAGGTACTATTGATCATAATATTGGTGAACGAAGAATAAACTCAGACATCTTGGAAAAACTGCGATGTGTGGTCGCTGTGACATTCCAAGTGTAGGCCAAATAACCACATAAAAAATATTTCAAATTGATTGATTCTTGAAGTTTATCATTCTAAACACAGATAAGTACCTTGAAAGCTTCCCATGTAGGAAGAAAAGACAGAGTAAATACAACAGGCAATGGGCATGCTTTTGTTCCAACTATGCCTGGGGAAATTTGAACACCATTTATCCTACAGATATAGGCAGATAGGTGCTGCCCTCACACACACTGCTTCCTAGCTACTGATTCTGAACCACTGCTCTTTCGATAGGGAAAGGTATTGGTATATAATGTTTAAAAAAACTGTAAGTGTTAAAATATCTGGAATTTTATCTCATGCATGCCCTTATTCTATATTGTCCAGCATCAGTCAGATTACCATAAGAATTTCTTAAAGTGAAAAACCACCTGTACATCTGTCTGTCTGTCTGTCTATCATCTGAATATTATGGCTGGGCAAATTAAAATGTTTAAAATTTATTATTAACAATGAGGGAAGCCTTGGCCTGTTGGTTGGAGCACCTCCCATACACTAAAAGGTTGCAGGTTGGATACCTGGTCGGGATCCATACCAGAAGCAACCAATCGATGTTTCTCTCTCACATCAATGTTTCTCTCTCTCTCTCCCTAGCCCCTGAAAATCAATGAAAACTTATCCTCAGGTGAAGGTTAAGACAGAAGGTGAAGAGGACAGGCTGTGTGGGACTGGCTCTGGGCTTTACATAAATTAGCTCATTGGATCACTGTAGCATCCAACAGAAGAAAAAGAACTTTTATTTTATCTCACTGATGACTTATACCTTGGAACATCAAGAAAAAGAAAAGATAGAGTGTTTCAGGCAGAGGGAGTAGTTTGAGGTATTACAGGATCACAACTGAAAATATATAACCCACACTGAGAGCTATGTGAAAGGATTTTCAGCTCTGTCCTCTCGTTTTATTGAAAGGAACCAGTCGCCCTGACCTTCCATTTCTCTTCTCCCTTCTCTGGTCTATATGGGGTAAGCACCTGGGCAACATCTGCAATCTATATTTTCAGGCTAAACTATACTGAAATGTCTAATAAGAAGGCGATAGAGCTTTCCCCTTTAAGCAGGGACTTGTGGATCATATCTTTCTCCCCCATCCCACCTAGCCCAGTTTCTTTCTCCATTTGATTTTACATATCAATGTTGCCCAGAAATCAAGATGACCAAGAGGTGGAAGTTAATACAACCAAATAAGGAAAACTCTTGATTATATTGTTTCAGGTTGATGGCCTAGCCTGCTTACTAGCATTTAAATCCAAGCCCTGATTTGGAGGTGGTAACATTTAAATTCTAACCCACACTGCAAGCATCAGGAATTAGAAAAGGGCATGTTAGCTGTGGTAGTTTTATGAGGCACATAAAACATGGAGTCAGGTCAGTGAATTTCTAGTGTTCATCAGACAAACAGAGATTTGACCTTTCATTCATTCAGTGGACAGTTCAATTAAAATACACCCCAGTCAAAATAATATGCGATCATCCTGGCAAAAGATGCAGGAATCCGGAGTATAGTTTATAATTAGTTAACCTCTTTATCTCTGTTTCTGTCTTCCCCCAACAAGCTTGTTTGGCTCAATGACATGCTAAGCTGAAACCTGATTCACTGCACTTACTAAAACAATGAAGACATTTAAAGGCCAGTTCTTTTGTTTTAGATTAAACAAGAAGGAGCTTTCTCATTTTAAAATTTCTGTCCAGTCATCTGGGTAGGCATCAGTTCCAATCACTGGCAGTCAGTTATCGAGGCTATATTTCCCCACTATATATCTCCAATTTTTGAAATGGGAAATCGATTCAAATTATTAAGAGAAAGAAACAGAAATTTCTGCAGGAAGGTGACAACTAGAAAACTCCCTTTGGATGTGGAGAGTACATTTGAGTAGGACTTGAACAGACCAACACTGAACCACCTTCTCATTGAAATCCCCAGATCTGATCTTTCTCTAGTGTTTAAACATAGCTGATGGCATGTCAATGGCATGTGGTTACTGTGCACTCACTGGCTGGACCAGCCAGGATTTAGGAATGTTATATAAGTTAACTCACCCAGGTGCAATCTCCTAAACCATTCTGATATCCAACTGATCCTATGGGATATGTTCTTACCAACAACACTTGAAATGCCCGATTTTACTGGTTCAATGGGAGACTTACATAGGTAAAATGTTTCTGGGGGTTCAGACTAAATTCTTTTAGCCAACAGCGTACTTTTGTTGTAGATCTGTCATATTGTTATCTTATGCTGTTTCAGTCGGTGGTGTTGCAAATTCTGAAACCCTTAGTAGTCTCAGGTTACTAGAGGAATACATGTCACCTGATTGTATGAAATACTCATATACTTGAATGTGACTCCAAGAGTGGAGATAGACTTACAAGGAATGGGACTTATCTGAAGGTACGTGTTTTACCATCGGGTTCACACTCTGGCTCTCTATACAAGACAAGAGTGAGCGCACCACCTGTATTCCCCTAGGGGCAGACTGACAAGGGCAAGCAGCTCAGTTGACCATCATGATGGAAGTCCAAACCTATAGATGTAAAAAAAAAAAATCCTCTAATAAAATATGTAGCTAGTGATTATGGAATGGGGTCCAGAAAACTGTGCAGCAAACAAATCTGCAACCACAGAAATTATAACAAAGTCTTCTAATGATGACCTTCTATATTTATACTGAAAGATGAGTGTTAAGTACTGTTGATTCAGAAACAGGTCACAAATTTTCCCCAGTGAGAGACTATGCCTAATCTCAGCACAATGTCATGTAAATGAAGGCAATCTTCTGGAGGCTAGTTGGAACATTATAACCCCAGGTATGGAGAATGAAAAGGGGAATATTGAAGAATTGGTGAACATACAGAGGGTTTTTCTATGGATTAGGTGTGTGACCATTGCTTTATGGCTCAGAGACAGAAATCCTGACATGAGTATAGTGGATGTTCTTCTGGTAGGAAAACACAGAAAGTCTGGAATGTCGTTGAAGTCACTGGGTATTCCAGGGAAACCAAAATGGGAAAAAGCTAAAGATGATCAGCACAGAAGAGATACAAACTCTTGGTCTCCTAATAACATTGTTTTCTTTGAGAAAGTGACTGACCAACATTTACAAATACAAATGCTCTGCCAGGGTGTGTGAAAGATGTTTAGAAAGCTTTAGTGTAAGTCTCTGGAAGAAAACAACACACAAATACTTAACTAATGCTTATTGATCACTTTTTGTGTACCTAACACTACTCTAAGTGCTTTACTTATTTTAGTTAATTTAATTCACCACAGCTTTCTGAGTTCTGTTATCCTCATTTTACAGATGAGAGACTGAGGTACAGAATGGGAGGTGATTTACCTAAGGCTGTCAAACTGGGATTTGAACCCAGGCATTCTGACTCCAGTAGCTGTGTTTGCTAACTACTCTACTTGGTTCAGCATCATCTACTGTTAGACTGTCATTACAGGCAGAAATGCAACTCCACAGAGTTCAGGAAGCCAAAGAAGGGAAATATGACCAAGAATGTTGCCATATCTAAAGGAGAATTTTATAACCACCTCACAGTTGCTTGAAGTGATGGGTATATCAATCTGACTCATGCAATTGCCTTTAATAGGTTACTAATTCATGGACTTGACAGAGCAATTGGTAAAGTGTCCAGTCCCATTCATCCTGATTTTTTTTAAATGAAAGGATACTGTAGGATTGAAAGACATCACTAAAAATATAAGAGAAGGTCATTGGCATAGTCATTCAGAATTGTAACCATCTAGTGTAAAAGGATAACACTAGGAGACATGGGACTAAGTGTCTATTCAAGATATATGGTTAAAATTATGGCTGCTCAGAGTCATTTTTCAGAGAAAGGCCTAAAACATGAGAATTGGGTATTTACAGAGTTTATCTGGGTTGGAGTGTGGATTAATAATGTGATCATTTTAGTATTGCTTAGGTTTTCTTCATTGAGATATAATGTTAATTGCTATAGTTAATATGTACAAAGTCAAAGTTATAAGATAAAAAGAGAAAATTTTAATTTGGACTGTGATAGAAAATGACCATGGTAATTTTTATAAAGAATTTTGAGGCTTTTTTTAATAGGAAAAATTTTATTTCTTAAAATTAGAATGGGGGAATTTTAACATTATGCCTTCATTATAGCAAGGTCAACAGAGGCCAAGCTCCTATTGAACATATTTTGTTGGGTGAAATAGCAGAGGGATAGGGGAAAAAGAAAGGGATAGAATTTTGCTGGTATTTTTTTCTGTAAAAATGTGTTTTGCCCTTGGCAGGGGTGGGAGTGGGTCCCATACTGAATACCCTCATTCACAGAGATTGCTTTTCCCGGAGTAATTGTGAAAGTTAAGTTTCCTCAAGCCTGGTTATTAGCACCTGGGCATGGGTTTTGGTGAGGCCAGGAAAATATGTCAATGAAATAGTCTTGTTTAAAAAAGAGGAAAAGAAATAGTCTTGTTTAGACACTGGTCCATTCAATCATCTCCGTTTGCCCTTTTTATTTTTCTATAAATGGTTACATTAAAAAGTACAAATCAGGGGGAAGCTTTATCAACCAGCAAGCTATTCAGTTTCTTATTTATAATCCATTTCTTCCAGTACTTTTGATAGTTGGGCCTACTTTGCTGGGAAAAAAAAAAAGATTAGAAATACGCCCTATGATTAAATGAACAATAACAGTACTTAGCATATGCTGTTTGGCAGCGATTTTCAACCTTTTTCATCTCATGGCACATAAACTAATTACTAAACTGGCACACCAAAAACTATATTTTTTGCTGATCTGAGAAAAAAATATATAGGTATATTGATTGATTCATTTATACCAGCTGGCTATTGTTGTGTTGGCTGTTGTCATTTTTTTATTTGATAGTCTAAGGAATAAAAGGTCGGTTCCCCTAAGCAGTAAGGTATTGCATGTTTTAAAAATGCTTGCGGCACACCGGTTGAAAGTCACTGCCGTGTGGGATTCAAGAAGTATTACACCAGGCCCCTGCCCTTAATGAGCCTGTGGCTGAGTTAGTGAATGATTAAATGTATAGATTTCTTTCTATTTCATAGCTTTATTTTTCAAAAGAGGTTATTTTCTCTGTACTCATATAAGGGAGGGTGAATGTGCTATTCTTAGATTTCATAAGATTAATATTGGAAGAAAAGTATAAAAAGCCATTTTGTAAATATTTTAACATAAAGAGATCACAGCTACAAAGTTCAGAATCCTAGAGTGTATTTTTAACTTAGTTTAGCTGAAGAGACTTTGATAGAATAAACTTAACACATGTTAATACGGACAACTTATATTTCTTCCCCTTCCTTCAGGAAAAAAACAATTAAAAATGACCATATAACTTCAAACACACTCTCATTTTTCATTCTTCCTTTCTCTAGCTTTACAAGAAATTGTTTACTGAGATTGTTGTTTTCCAGCTTCCTCACACAAAAGATGAAATAAAAAACAAACAAAAGCATGGTCAGGGAAGCATCATGTTTGACAAGAAACATGTTCGGACAAACTAAATTGTGCACTTCAAAAGAGAGACACTAAAGCCAGCTGTTGAATACTTTTAGTTAGTACTCAAAGATAATTTGATTGGCAGTAATTGTCTGGGAATGGCCCGAGTTAGAAAGTCTATTTCTTTATAGACAGCAGTCAGTTTATTTATTTTTTCCTATGAATTGGCTGTACTATTAAAATTGTGATTTTCACTTGCTGCTTCCATGCATTTATAAGGACAGTCATGTTTGGTGGTTGCCCTGAAAATCATTGAGGAAGCAGCCTGTGTAAGAGGCAGAGCACAGCTCAGCCAACTGCAGTTCAGAGACCGACACCTGCAGTGTTCTGTGATTCTGGGCAAGTCACTCAGTCTCCAGGAACCTTTGTTTCTCTTTCTGTAAAATGGGACTAAAATTGCAGTTTTCACCTTACTGAGTTTAATTACATGAGAAAATGTGAGAAAATATGTCCAGCATATTATACATAATCAATCAATATTGGCATGGATCAGTCTTCTGGAAGTTTTTTCATGACCAGTTACTTCACTTTTATGATTAGAAATTAAACTTCAAGCAAGTTCTTTCTTTTCCGCTTACATATTCATAAAACCTAGGATAATTCATGAAAGAAACATTGTAGTTCCTTTCCTTGATTTGTCATGATATCCCTTTCTTAGCTGTATAAATGCCAGTGTTTTCCTTTCTCTAGACTGCAAGCCGGTGAGCAGCCTCAGCTTGCCTTTGTCCCACCGGAGATGCTCATGTCATCAGGTTACACTGGACAATATTTTCAGCCAGCATCCAACCCGGATTATTATTCACAATCTCCTTGCATTGACAGTTTTGATGAAGAGCCTCCTTTGCTAGAAGATAAGTTAAGGAAGTGCTATTAATGTGTGTACAGCTTGAGAATAATAGCAATAATGAGCACTTAATGTGGGCTGGCAGCATGCTGCGTGCAGTGTTGTGTGTGATTGTTCTGTGTGTAAACAAGTCTGCCTCTTCAGGACTCTAAAACCAGTGGAAGTCTGTTCGTGTGGGGGTGGGAATCAGAAGTAGGTGTGTACTGTTGCTGTACTATTGCTGCAGTTATTACATATTTTTTTCACTGTTTCTTAAATTTGAACCCCCTGGCAGTGTCTAGGCAACAGTGAAGACATCTTTTCAAAAAGTGGTTATATCAAAGTAACCACCCTTCCCCCCCAGTTAATTAAACCACTTCCCCTCCCACTTTATACAGATCGGAGAAAATGTCTCAATTATTTTTTTCCTTTGTGATTATCCCCACCAAATGTATAGTCTATTAGAAGAGAGAGCACTTAATATAATTTGTATTTTGAATCTGAAATTTCTAAGCTCTGCTCTAATATGTTCTTCAGGCCGGGGGACTTTGTGAAAGTCTCGAGCTTTGTCACTATAAAAGATATGAAAAGGCCATAAGCAGGATTTCTGCAATAAGGTGATGAATGACATTTGCTAGCTTTTTTTTTTGAGTGTACATCTAAACAACCTGTAAAATCATGAATCTATAATAAGACATCTCCCGCCCAAAAACATGTCATTTGAAACTGCTTGTTTATGCTTTAAATGCTTTGTTGTCTAACAGGCTTGTTTGGTTTTATGTAAGAATGATAACTTTTGCTATTTGATAATGTACAATCAATATGTTAACAAATACGCCTTGAAGACTAATAATCAATTTAAGTCTATCAGACCAGAAAAATTACTGTGATATTTATAGCATAACCTGGTGTTTATATTTGAAAGGCCAGTGACACAATTTGCATAGAAAATAAACATGTTAATTCATTTTTATAGCATTTATAGCTTATACTTTACTACCACTAGATGACAGTAAAACAATAATTTTACATTCAAATTTCATAGCAATTTTATTTTATTTTGTATAAGGTGTTAGATTATCTACAGTTAATAAATACTTATAATCTCATTTGCATACCTTGTAATATATTTGGAAACAAAATACAGGGTGGAGCAAAAGTAGGTTTATAGTTGTTCATATGAAAAATAATACAGTAATTAATAAATAATAATACAGTAATAAACTGCTTCACATATTCACAACTGTAAACCTATTTTTGCCCCACCCTGTATTATGATGATGTATTTGATAAAAAACACATAAAATCTTTTTTCTTATGAAAATTTAGTAGGTCTTAGGTTCATTCACTCTTTTATGACTCAGTGTTGAAACGCGTATAGAAGTTAATTATGCCATCAAATAAATGATTGAAATCAGGAATAATATCTCATAAAACATTTTTCATCTGAGTTTCTTCAGGAATAATTATGCTTTTTCAGGAAAAAGATATTTTGAATTAAAGGCCACTTTATTGTGCTCAATACTATTAGCATAAATGTCTAAATTGAAAATGAAGTTTGAACATAAATCTGAGGTGAAATTAATTTAGCCCAGTATTTCTCAATTTTTTAAAGTCTGCTATTTTAAAAATCACATTAGACATTCTAACCCAGCATTTTTCAGTGTGTTTTTTAATCTCATGGCACATAACCTAATTACTAAAATTCTGCGGCACACCAAAAAATATATTTTTTGTTGATCTGACAAAAAAAAGGCATGATTTTTATTCATTCACACCAGATGGTTGTTGTGTTGGCTGTTGTCATTTTTTATTTGACACTGTAAGGGAAAAGAGGTCAGTGCCCCTGACTAAATAGTCAGGTATTGCATGTTTTAAAAATTCTTGCAGCACACTGGTTGAAAACTGCTGTTCTAACCTTATTTTAAGCTTGGCGAACTGCTTACATTTTCCAAAGTGTATGTTCATTAAGAAATATATAAATACACTGTGAAAATACAAAGGATGCAACATGAATGTTATCATGTAGATTATTTGCTCACAATTAATTTAACCAACCAATTCTTTTCTTTTCAAACTTGGGATAGTAATTGTCAGTCTGAATGTGAAATGAGTGAAAGAATATGCTCTCCATCCTAATTCAGAGCAACACCTGCCTGACCTTCTGAAAAGTGTCGAGGTCCCTGTTAAAGCAAGGCCCTCTGTGTCAGGGTGATTATTAGAAGTCCGTCTGGTTTGTGTATGGAATGTCAGCTTTGCAAGGTGTTTAGGTGGGATGAGCCATTGTAAAAGAGGTTGAACTATACTCTTTATCTGACCAAAACGAGTTACTGAATTCTAGGAAGGGAAGTTGAATGCCACATACAAATGACTTAGGGAGACAATCCACATGAGAGAATTGGGCTCAACTGAAGAAAATGCAACCATTATCCGTTTAGATGCACATTGACTCGATTAAAGCATGGGTTTTGTTTTTGGGGTTTATTTGTTTGTTTGTTTGGGAGGGACTGGTTGTATTCTCATACCAACCACTCCCTATTTCCGCCACCCCCAACCCCTGGCAACCACTTTTCTGCTCTGTTTCTATGAGTTTGACTAGTTTTTTTAACTTTTAGATTCAACATATAATTCATATCATGCAGTGTTTGTCTTTCTTGACTTATTTCACTTCATGTAATGCCCTCAAGGTCCAACCATGTTATTGCAAAGGGCAGGATATTTTATTCTACCACCACTCATAAAAGGGAACAGTTAACTTGTCTCAAGAATTTAATCTTTAAATACACAGGTTCAACCACATAGAGTATTTAACTTGTTAAAATATGCATGCACATCATGATTACTTTTACTTGCTGAAAGGGCCATCCCCTTTTCTCCTCTGTGGCATTTCAGGCACTTAGCATAGAATTGCTCTTCTCCTCAGGCATGTGAAAGTGAAATTCCAGACCTGGGGTAAATGTCTTTAGTTTAGATAATTTTGCTAAGTGAAAAATGATGAAGTGTTTGATATAACAATATTTCAGAAGTGTTAGCAATGGAAATTTCAGGGAAGGGAAATGTCTAAATGGGCAATAGGATGGGACTTTTGGTCTGTTAGCTACCATTATATTTTATTTTTACTGTAGAATGTCCTTTTCCCAATTTTAAGCTTGTATTTTCTACATAAGGGATATTTTTTTCTTATGGAAATATTTGTCTAAAATATTTCAGCTCATTTTTTGGAAAGAAAAATCTATGTTTATGTTTAAATTTTTACATAGAATTTTAGATTATGGAGGTTAACAATTAGATTAAAATACTAAGTAAGTGAATCGGATATATTAACTTTAATTAAAGAATATTACTGATGTTTATTTTTCTATATTACCGTTTTCTCTCCTTTTTGCAGAACTTGGAATTAATTTTGATCACATATGGCAAAAAACCTTGACAGTGTTAAACCCACTGAAGCCAGCAGATGGCAGCATTATGAATGAAACTGACCTGGCTGGACCCATCCTGTTCTGTGTCGCACTGGGAGGCACCCTGCTTCTGGTAAGGGACAGCAGCATCAGATTTTAATGTGTGTCCTTTCCAATGTGATTTTTGCCGAGCACTTTGTAAATTAGAGGGCAGTATGTCACTTTACACAGTGAAAATTGTCTGTTTAATTTATAGCTACTTTTCGGGGGGGTAAGAGAGGCATACTTAATAGAATTATAGTGACAAAATAGAAACTGTCATCATGCATTACAACAGGTATAAAATATAAATTTAAATAAAACTTTAAAAATAAAATCACGAAATGAAAACTTTCAACAAAGCAGGCAATCATTTATGTCTTTATTGTTATTAAGGAAAAAAAACTGTCAATCTGGAATAGTTGAAGGAGCACATGGATTTGGGAAATATAAGGCTTAAATTTTATTTCTTGCTTTCTGTGAAATCTGTATTGTGACACTGAACAAATCCTTTCTGTTTGTTCATCACTTTCTTTGCTTGCACGTGTCTAGACTATTTCTAAATATCCTGTGGAGTCTGAGATGAGATGGGTCTTGTTTCTTTCTCGTTAGGTACTATGAGTAAATTAACTTGCAGTGATAACAGGATTTGTTCCTTCAGTCAATATATTTCTCCTATTATTTTAGTTTTATGCTTTTTCTGAGGACATTTTTTTTCCTGACTTCACCATTTCCCTTGTGTATGTGCCTCTTTCATTCTTTATATCTACGAGTGTTGATATCAAAAGATACCAAAAAATTTTTTTAAATCACATATTTGCACCTAAGTTAAGTTTAGATAGCATTCAAGCTTATAGTTTGGAACAATGTTTCATTTGAAAAAGGAAGAAAAAGAAGAAATGAGAAAGGGTTTATGATTTTATGCCAGGAGGGAATGATAATACATTAGAAACAGAGGTTGGCTCCAGCCTCATGGCTCAGTAGGTTGGAGCATCGTCCTGTACACCAGAAAGGTTGCAGGCTCAGTTCCCAGTCAGGGCACATATCTAGGTTCAGGTTCAGCCCCCGGTTGGGGCGTATGCCAGAGGCCACCAGTTGAATGTTTCTCTCACATTGATGTTTCTCTCTCTCTTTTTCTCTCTTTCCCCTTTTCTCCCCCTTCCTCTTTCTCTAAAATCAATAAACATGTCCTCGGGTGATGATTAAAAAAACAACACAGAAGATGAAAAATGTGGTCAAGCTAGTCTCAAAAATATGGTTTTATTAAGGCACAAAATGATAAACTTGGCAGGAGAAATAATATAGGGAATTAAAGATTCTAGACCGTCCCACTTTTCTCTCTCATAGCTACTTCCCATAATTGTTTTTCTCCAAGTAGTTACAATTTTTAAAAGTAGCTGTAAAATGTTATTTGCAATTAAATAAATTTTCACTTTTTATTTATTAACTACTTAATACAATTATCAAAACACTGATAGAAATCTAGTTTCTGCATGGTAATGTGGTCCATAATCCCAGCATATTTATTCAGTACAATAGTATTTTGTGATAGCATCTTATTTCTTCCTTTGAACTACAGCAAATACAAATACTCTGTAAATCAAACATTATATCAACTGGAGTTTTAATTTAGTCTCTAACCTCCCTTCTGTCTTTGTCACAATAATTTGATAATCTTAGATTAAATGTTGCTAAGTAACACCATGTCGATTAATCAAATAGTCAGAAACAATCAATTTAATATATTAACTCATCTTTCTTTTTCAAGTAATTTGTAATATAACAGCTGTTTTTTTGTTTTGTTTTTTAATATATCTTTATTGATTTCAGAGAGAGGGAAGGAGAGGGAGAGAGAGAGATAGAAACATCAATGATGAGAGTCATTGATCGGCTGCCTCCTGCACGCCCCTGACTGGGAATCGAACCCGATCTCCTGGATCCTAGGTCAATGCTCAACCACCGAGCCACGCCTGGCCAGGCTGTTTGTTTTTTCTGTAGAAATACTACCATCACCACCCTTTAAAGCAAATTATTAATCCCATTAAGATCTTTTTAGGGTGTACAGTGTTAGTTGGAGTTATTTAAGTATCCTCTCTTTGGTCTTAAGTACAAAGTTATATATATAAACAAAGAAATCAACTGAAAGTAAGAAAATTGAATCTACCCCTAACTTTTCCTCTAGGTGTGATCTTGAATCTTTTGTTTTCTGTTTTTGGGACTTCATTTCTTCATTTTGAGGGCAAAAACGGTTTATTAAAGTGGTTCTTAAGGTTCCTTTCAGTTCTGAAATTTTGAAGAATATTTGAAAATGAGTATTTTCTGAAACCTTTTAAGAAAACATTATCACTTCAGTTTTACCATTAGTGCATGGTTACTTTGGAATTGATTCTGATGCATGTAGAGCAGTAAGGACCAAAACAAGCAAACAAAGTGGATATTAGTGAAGTCAGATTTAATTGAGAAGCCATTTGCAGCCAAGTGAATCCTGCCCTGGATATGTCGAATTAAAATGTAAAGGGTGAGCCCTGGCTGGGGATCTCATTGGTTAGAGCATTGTCCGGATGCGCCAAGGTTGTGGGTTTGATTGCCAGACAGAGGCATATACAAGAATCTACCAATGGATGCATAAATAAGTGGAACAGCAAGTCAGTGTTTCTCCTTCTCTCCTTCTCTCTTTCTCTCTACCCCCCTCTTAAAAATAAAAACCAATCAATAAAAAATTAAATTGTGAAAGATGATTTTATGGGCTGGTATATGCATGTACTAGAAAAAGCAAAAGCAAATCCAGAAACAATGTCCAAATCTGTTCATTGTCTTTGGAGGTGTAAGATTCATAGTCACATACTCATCGTTTTTCTGATTTATGTTGATATAAGGCACAGTACCTTTTAGTGGACTTTCTTCTTGTTGAAGGAGACAAACCAAAAAGAACAGCTTCAAACACTTAACACAAATTTAGTTTTACTTATTATTTCTCTCAAAATTATTTTCACTCCCAATATAATAAAGAGGAGTCATGGTTTAAAGCTATGACTCCATTTATTTTTTTTTTTTTTGGTAGGTCTAAGAGTGTGATCTGATAAAGGAATATGCATGGTAAATATAAAAGCATGATACATGAATAAGTATTTCTAACAAAGATTTAGTATGAAGCTGGTACACGGAGGATCCTGAAAATTTTGAGGTTAAGAAGAAATGGAACTTTTTTCCTTTCCTTTTTTTTTTATTATAAATGTTTCAGAACAACATTATAATTTGACATCTGTATACACTACAAAGTGATCACCCCCAAAAGTCTAGTTACTATCTATCTCCATACAATTAACATTCTTCACCCTTTTAGTCCATCCCTAACCCCTTTCCTCTCTGATAACCACAGACCTGTGATCTGTTCTATGTAGGTACTTAAAAAGAAAGAAAAAGGAAAGAAAAATGAAAACGGAACATTTATTTTCCATTTCAATTACAAGCCCTTGTTACAATTAGAAGCAAATTGAAAAATGGTGGTGGCCGCTGCCAGTGAATAAAATTACAAGAGAAAGAAATGAAGTGTCAGCACCTGACCTGGAAAGGGACAACTGTGCACCAAATTAGTTTCATTCATCACTTATTTACCCTACTTTATTCACAAAACTCTTGGGGCCAGGAAGGTCCAGCTGTGTGTCCTTTGGTGTAGGGAAGTTGCTTTTCACCATTACAACTATCTCTGTCTCAGAATTATCACATTCAGTTAAAATATTAAATAAAATACTTCTCTACTACATGAAAGTGAATTGAAAGTGTCACTAATTCACAAATGGAGCAAACCCACCCAATGGTGTAGTGCATAACTGATATTTTGTTTTTTAGCATGTCCATTAGCATCCTTAGTGTTATTTCACAAAATATCCAAAAGAATACAAAAGATATTCAATGAGAGCTTCTTATGGCTAATGTAGGAGAGAACTCTCCCAGAGTAGCCCAGGGACATTTTTGTGAAAGAACTTAGTAGTGACCAACCTCCTTACCTACAGAGGAAGAAGAGTTGAAAATAACTAGACAGTTTTGAACACTAAAGTGGTCTTAACATTCTCCATTACCTTCATTAATCACAAATATCTCTTTGTTCTCTAAGACATAAGGACTTTATGAATAACTGCTGTGGAGAGGGAAAAAAATGACAGCTGAAAGCTCTCTTTCTGAATCAATGTACCAGATTCTTTGCTGTTTTTTAATAATTCCCATGAAAACCAAAGTCAGTTCATCCAGCCTTTATCTAGAACTTCTAATCAGTTTAATATAAATATAAAAACTAAATTTGTTCTTTACTGGAGCATTGGCATCCTCAGGTAGCCAACATTAAAGTAGCCTCTGCTGAATTAATAGTAGATCATGGCTTTCCCCAGATAAGTTCCATGGAGATACTTCAGCTCCTAGATCCTAGTGCTTTGTGAGTGGTGGCTATTTTTATAAGTCCTCAGAAGATCCGTGGTATATCTGAACACCAGTGAATTCCCTTAACAGTACCTCTTTTATGATCCATTACCAGGTAGTTTATATAAATCAGCTTTTCATAAGGTGTATTCAGTTAAACTGGCAATAGGCATTCTGAAAACAAAATTTTCTATGGTCAAATAAGTTTGGGATATGCTGGGTTATAAAAAGTTAAATAAGTTCCATTATTTTAAGACTTCTTAGAGCTCCTGTAGATGTTAAGGACCTAAATTTTAGAGCCAGGTTTTCTTGGTTTAAAGCCAAGCTCCACCAATCAGCATTATTTTAATTTGGGAAAGTTACTTAAACTTTCTGCCCCTCAATTTCCTCCTGTGTAAAATTGGTACCAATAATGGTACCAATCTCATAGGATGGTTGTGTTGGATTAAATAAGTTATAGATGTGAAATGCTTAGAAAAGGCACTAACATAGTAAATCCTATAGATGTTTGCTAATATTACTAATATCCCTGTAAATCTCCAACGGAATTTTTTCATTAATTGATTCATTTATTTAATTTGAAAAATATGGGGAGAAAATATATTCTTACTTATGCCTTGTATCTCTAATAAACAATCTATAATTTAAAAAAATATAAGCCTAAAAAATATTTCATCTTTTCTGTAGCTTGCTTGTGCTATCCCAAGTATAGTCTGGGGTGCTTGTTCTCAGGACCTTAATTCGTGTTATAGCCAGAGTTTTTTCCAGAACTCCCAGTCTCCTGATAGTTGTACGTACCACAAAGATATGGAACAACACTGAGCTGATTGACTCTAAAATGCTCTCTGATTTGCTGACTTTCTGATTTTTCTCTTGATGCTTTTTGTGTGTTCATACTGTTCTCTTCTCATTGTTTCAGGCAGGAAAAGTTCAGTTTGGTTACGTATATGGCATGAGTGCCATTGGCTGCCTCGGGATTTATGCCCTACTAAACTTGATGAGCTCTTCAGGGGTGTCCTATGGCTGCGTGGCGAGTGTGCTGGGTTACTGCCTGCTCCCCATGGTCATCCTGTCCGGCTGCGCCATCTTCTGTTCACTGCAGTAAGTGTCCGTGTCCGCTAATTGACCCACCTGCACAATCATCGCTAAGGTGTGCCACACAGTGCAACACTTAACCTCTTTCTGATCATTTTGGTTGTGGAGTTAGGGAATCCAATGACTACTAAAAGGTACAGGCAGATTCAGGAAAGTAGGTTCATTTCGGCTAAGGTGCTGTTTCTATTTCAATAATTAAAAAAATAGATTAAACCAAGTAATCTTTAAAACTGGCACTTTGTAAGTTGTCACATCCTTCAGTATGAGCTATTGTCATGGGTAATATACCAAGTTCAGAAAACTCACTTGTTTGATTTTGGAAGAGTAAGTGCGTGGCGAACTCTGACAAATTGCCTCAGCTCCCAGGCACTCTGTCTTCCAGGCGGGAAGCAACTGTTGCCTCTCAGCTGGGCTCCGTGCAGCACACAGCTCCCAGGAACCCTGATGAGGATATTAATGCTAGAGAGTGTTATGGCATATGTGCTCAGTCAAGAATTTTTTCCTTATTACTTCCTGAGCAGTGAGTATTTGCAATTCAAAACCATTAGTAAGGAGGCAGTAGATAAGTTTCTGCCAGGCACTCTCCCGGGACATCTGCATGTCTCAACCACGTTGATTGGGGAGACCAAGTAATTACATTGTCCTTTGTCACTTGTCATGCTCTAAACCCAATTAGAAATAAACATTTGCCATTAGTGCTCATGATTCCACATAGTAATGAGACACAATTTGCATTTTTTTCTTGGATGATCCACATTTTAGGTTATTAACCCTACATTGGATAGGATAATATATAAAGAATTTACCAATACCAAAGGTAGACATTTTAGAAAAGCCTTTAATGTTGTTATTTAGATATAATCTCATATCATATTTTTCATAGCATTATTGAAAATGACTTAGTTGGAAATGCTTTTAAGATATGGGCTCATTTTTATAGTAACATTCTTGTGAATAACTTAGAGCAAATTCCTATTTTATCAGCAAGTACTCCTCAATATTTAAAAAAGAGGAATACAACAGAAAATTGATACTTTGAATGTATAAACACAATGTGAGTTGTAAGTATATTTATTAAGTCTTATCCATGGAAAAATTTCACTTTCTGCATATCAAGTTCTTTAGCAAGCAAGCTGTTCCATTTACTATGTTGTTTGGTAAAAACATTTGACAAGTTAATACAGAGTTCAGTTCTATGATTTCTATTTTGTCAAATGCTTTTGTTAAAGAATACTATAAGGATTTACCATTTTAAAATTCTAAGTTTTAAACATCATTTCCAGCAAAGCTGAGATTTAGGGCATTTTAAATGACTCTAGATTATTAGGAGAAGAAAATAAAAACTGAAACTCTTGGATTTTGAGAATCATGATAAGTATGGACCTTTTTTCATTAGATTTTCATTCTAAAAGATGATTTATAAATCATTTAATTTATATTAAAGGGAAATAAACTATTTGACACCTAAGATCATTACACTGAAATTGCCCTTTCAGGCATATTACTATATCATTCAAATTAATCATACATAATTTTACATTCTTGTTCACAAAAACCTGTATATTAAATCACTCTAGAAATTATTCCTAATAGATATTCATTAAACCAATGAATCTATTATTTATTAAAAATATTTAAAAATATATTTTTTTTATTCATAAGCTGTATTGTACAGTTTTTCACTTGTTTTGCTTTGGTTCAGTTATTAAAGTAGGTTCTCTTGTCATTCTCACAAATAATAAACACAATTATCAACTTCAGATTCAACCAGGAACAATGGAGGTAGTGTAGTTTGATGGTGAAAAGAGCAGTGTGCCAAAAGAGCAGTTAGGTGATTTTGACCTAATGCCCATTTTAGTGTGCCATTTTTGTTAAGTCACTTCATTGCTTTAAAGCTGGGGACTAGATATACCTGAGATCTATCCTAGGTCTGATGTGTTATTTTCCTAAATAATGCATTCTGTTTTGCACATAAGAAAAAAAATTCACTCTTTATCACCCATACCTCCTTTTTTATTCCCAAGGTGGCTAGACTTAACTACCTTATTTCCCCATTTCTTCTTAAAGAACCAATTGTCTCCATAGTTACTTCTTCAAGATACCAATTTAAACAAGTCCATTTCAGCATTCTAAAAAATCCACACACACATAAAGGGATCTTCAGCTGTGAAGTGGGAAGCAGCACATGTATGCCTTCCCGTTTCATGTGTTCCCTGCCTGAGTTGTGTCAGGCTTTGCTATCTCAGACAAAAACCTGGAAAGGGGACTTGGGAGCAGTGGGGACTGGGCACCCTACTGGAATTTAAGTCCAGTAATTTTTCTGCTCATTCTGTGGGTAAATTTAGGAAGAAAGTATAGGGTAAAGAAATCTATAGCTATAAAAAAGTTTCTAAACATAGTTTATGTAAAAGAATTTCAGGAGTTGTGACTTAATGTTGACATATGAGAGTAATTGCAAGTGGATTCTTCTCTTTCTATGAATTCTAATTTTACTGAAGTATGAAATATTTAGCCTCTGGTGGCAAATTTGACTCAAATATTTTCTAACTGGCCAAGACCTTTGAGTTCATATGGTTCCTCACCCTCATTTTACAGATGGAGAAAGTAGTTAAAAATATTGTGCCAGGATATTTCAGAGGCCTCTCTGATCCAATAATCTTTTCCTTATGTAAGGTAATCACCTCTTTTGTCTTTCCTGTAGGGGCACAATTGGTACTGTGTTGGCACTGGTCATCATTGTCTGGTGTAGTCTCTCAGCTTCCAAAATCTTCATTTCGGCCTTGGACATGGAAGGACAACAGCTTCTCATTGCCTACCCTTGTGCCTTACTTTATGGACTTTTTGCCCTCCTAACAGTTTTCTGAAGAGCATTTGAGGTAGCATTACAATATGCTGTTTATTTGCTGTTCAGATTGTTCTGGGAATGTATTAGTTTTCAAATTTGGTAATATGCTTTATTGCTACTGAGAGAATAATAAGCAGAAAAACAAAATAGCACCTAAGGATGATGCTCTAATAGCATGTTTGGTTTGAAGGATGTTTTGCTTTTCAGTTGGTGCATTAAAACATTTAAACATACTTTAAAATAAAAGAGATAAAGTTGTTGTGCTGATGGACCCTGCTTTTCTCAATAGATGCATTTCTGAGAAATTGTAAGTAAATAAAATCACATGCTGACTGGATAGTTAGCCTTCTAAGAAAACCTCATGATGGCTCAAGTTGTGTGCATATGGTTAGAGTCACACTGTCCAGTACCTTTGGAGAATTGGAAGGGTAGGTTATGCAGGGTTTTATTTACATGAGGTTCGTATAACTCCTGTCTTTCAATTGAATTACTATAGCAACTATTCTTTCGTCCCTTTTCGACAATGCATTTAACTCACCACATTTTCAAGCCCTCACTTCCTTCTTACTTGGTTTAGATGCCATGGTTCATTACTATAATTCCTCCTCTGCATATATCCTCAGCAACCTTGCTATTTGCTCCCTAAATACATTTTAATAAGTAAATAATAAATAAATTTTGGGAGTTCCCAAAAATGTATACCATTTTGAATAATTATAAAGGCAGTGTTTATTAAATGCATTTCATTTTCAAAATGTAATAGAATCTACAACTGTCAGCTGTTAAAGTGTGTATACATGTTTTGGGGATACCCTGTAGATGAATGTGACTAGAGGAAATCCCACTTGTTTCACTTTAATTATATTTCTATATCTTAAATGTTAAATGTTTCCTCTGTATGGCCCTTTGTTATTTTTATTTTTTTTAATTTATTGATATGAGAAAGAGAGAGAGAGTGTGTGAGAGAGAAACATTGATTTGTTGTTCCACTTATTTATGCATTCATTTGTTGTTTCTTGTATGTGCCTTGACCAGGGATCAAATCCACAGCCTTGGTGTATTGGGACGATACTCTAACCAGCTGAGCTACCCAGCCAGGGCTTTGGTACTGCCTTTTGAATCTTACTACATTATCAACTAAATTTGCTTTCACGTGTTTTGAGATGATTATGCTACACCATTTCTTCACTCCTCAAATCTCTAATGTTCCTTTCTCATTTCTTACTGTTAGTTGATGAATTTTCTTTTTATTTCATTGAAAAATAGAACATCTCGAAGAAAAATGTTTTATATTCCCACCACCAGATTTACCAATCTACATGCATCTTTATAATATATACACACGCACACACATATATACTTTGCATTCCTTCTTGTCCCCGTCTCCTCTCCTCTCCAAAGTCAGTCCTGCCCCTTGCATAGCCATTGTGTTCCTTTTGGCCTGTTATTCATATCGGCATATAAACATGTTTCAGTATCTTCTATCTTAAAAACCCTTTGATTCAACATCACTCTGCAGTTATGGCCCATTTTTCTGTTGCAAAAATTATTGAAAGAGTTGTCTATTGTTTCCACCTCCGATTTATCACTACCCATTCTTTTTCTTACATTCCAGTCCAGATTTAATCATTGTATTCACCAAGACCATCTTGGTTAAATCAGCTCCCACAATGGTCTACATCCAGTGGTCAATTCTTAGTCATCATTGTACTCAAACTCACAGGCCTTTGGTTACCACTAATCTCCTCCAGCCCCTGTGTTGAAGCACTTACTCCACTAGGCTTCTGGAGTAGTATACATGCTGGGTTTTTTTGTTCTTATGGGTTTTTTCCCCTGCCTCACTGGTGGCTTCTTCTCAGTCTCTTTGGCTGGCCTTTCTTCTTCTCAACATCAAATCTCTTCTTGACCTCTAGTCAGTCACTTGCCAGATAATCTCATTTCATTGCATAGCTTTAAAATCTAATGACTCCTGCCTGGCCCGGCGTGGCTCAATGGTTGAGCATTGGCCTAGGATCCAGGAGATCATGGTTCCATTCCTGGTCAGGGCACATGCCGGGTTGCGGGCTCGATCCCCAGTTGGGGGCATGCAGGAAGCAGCCGATCAATGACTCTCTCATCATTGATGTTTCTATCTCTCTCTCCCTCTTCCTTCCTCTCTGAAATCAACAAAGATATAAAAAAAAAATCTAATGACTCCCAAATTCCCATCTCCCATCTAACACTCTCCCCTGAGCTTTTAACATATATATTCAACATATACTTAATACTTTTCATTTGATTTTTAATATAATATTCTCACACATAGTATATCTGAAGCCAAACCCTTAACTCCCATCCTGTTCTTCCTCCAGATTTCCTTGTCTTTATAGCAGGAACCACAGATTACCAAATTGCTCAGTCTCAAAATGAACAGTCTGTCTTCATCTCACTTTTAATTTCTCACCCAACATCTAATCCATCAAAAAGCCCTATTGACTCTATAATCAAAATGTATCCCATATTCAACCATAATTACCTGAAATTATGTTATTTACTTACTTTTTTGCTTTCTATCTCTAGACACTTTGAGGCCAGAGACCTTGTTTGTATACAACAGTTCCTGACAAAGAATAGAATGAGTAAATGAATGAAGTTGTGATTGGGTATCTATCATTGTAGTAAACAAGTCAACCAAGGCTGCAGCCCGAATAAAAACTACATTAGGAATGGGGCGGGGAGACAGACAGTAAACAAGTAAATAAAAATTAAGGCAATTACAGAATTATGAGAAGAATGCTAAGGTAGGAACAAGTAGAAAAGAAGCTAAAACAGTAATAAATGTTAGATTTGTGTAGGTTATAATCCATTAATGGGCCTGTTAATGAAGCAGCGAGTTGTCTTTTAAGCTCTGGCTTTCTACTTGCCGAGACAGTCGTACCGACTCCTAGTTTAAAGAAGATGAAGCAAGAATCTAGTTGATGGTCATGAGTCTCTGAAACATCACCTTATTTCTTAGAGGTATATGTCTGCCATGGACTTAAACTTTTACCTTTTAGAAAGTGCTTTTACTAAAAAAAAGTTATAGGTAAAAATTGCTCTAAATTCGGGTTGTATGTTGAGACTTCTCTATGCAGAAAAAGATCACACATGAAAAAGGTTTGATTTTTTTTTTTACTGTAAAAATTATAACATCAGTATAAACAAACAGCCACTACATGAAATACTAAATATTTCCTAACAGTAATAAATAAGAATAAGTTCTTTTAAAACTTCCTAATGGTAGAATTATGACTTTTCTAAGAATTAATGTAGAAATAAATATTGATGTCTATGAAAATAATTATAAAATATTAGAGGCACTTTTTAATACTACAATATATGCTATACCCCAGGATGAGAAAAGTGTATTTTGTAAAAGACTATCCCTAAAATGAATATATAGGTTTAATATAATTCCAGTTAAAATTCTAGGAGTATTTTTCCTTAAATGTTGGCAGTGATTTTAAGGTTAATCTGAAAACATAAGAAAATATGAACTGAAAAATTGGAAACAATATAAAAATTTATTATAACAGGCAGTGAGTTAAAATCAATTATTTTTCATCTATGGCTGAATACTAGGGAGCTATGAAAATATTTTGGAAGACTTATAACATGAGAAAATTCATGTATTAAATTTTTATAACTTTGATATTTACTGAGGACTTACTGTGAATTGACCTAGATGCTTTATATTATTTACTCATTTAAACTTCACAATAATTCTATGAAGTGCTAGTATCATCACCTCTATTTTAGAGATGAGGCCCAGCGTTATTCAGCCAATAACAAGGATTTGAATCCAAGAAGCTTGAATCCAGAGTCCAAAAACACAACATAGCACTGCCTATTACTGAGCAAAAAATCTCATTACATCTTCATGGCTATCAACGTGTCTACTATTTATTCTACTCAGATTTATCCTTTCCCCTTGACCTTGGCCAATACTAGACAGAGCCAAAAGCTTCACCTGCCAGGGAAAAAGAATACAATAAGAAAACAGCAGAAGAATCAAGAATTACTAAGGGGACTAACGTGACACTTGCATCACTACTGGTTACCTTTCTAAACTCTTGTTCAAATAAACTATGCATTATCAGATCTAGTTAGCATTAGGATAGAAAAATCTCACAAAATATAGGCCACTTCCCCCATTCCCAGTAGTGTGTGCATTATTTGGATTTGTGTGAATTGGAGGTATTTTTCTTTTTAAATAAATGGTGACATTTATTTATGCTCAGTAGGGTGTGTTACAGAACAGAAGATAAAGTGAAAGGAAGCACACTTAGGGTATACAACTAGAAATACTATGTCTTTTTGGTTTAATAGATTCTGGCAAACTTTTTCACTTTCCCTTTTGCTCAAACTTTCTAATTCTGTTATCTGAGAATGTAACATTTTTCTAGTTTTCTGTCTTTACTGGTTGGATGAAAGTTACAGATTACGTGTTAAGGGTAAATGGCACATTTAGAGTCAAGAGGTGGCCTTCATTTCTACAGGAATGATTGGGCACATGTGCTGAAAATAAAAGTCCTGAATTACTCAGACTCAAGTGCCCCAGTTCACAACAGTTTAACTAGGGCATTGGCCTTTACAACATTTGATGACAGATGCTTTTCTACTCTCCTCTGATTCCCAGTGAAGAATGCCAACTAAAATCACATTGACAATCTCCCGTTTTGCTTTCTCTTTTTTTTTTAGAACACTTTAGGTTCTATTCTGTTTCTCAGTGACACGAACAAAGATCTATAGCTTTGAAAATCAGTTTTCATTTTTGAGAAGTCTAAGATGATCTTAAATGGGTGTTCTGGGACCCAAATTTCCACGTGTGGATGGAGGGAAGGAGGGAAAGGTTCCCATACCACCAGCAAGCAATTCGTGGATACCAGCAGGCTGCGCAAGAATTAACTCAGTTCAGACACAGTCTACCCAGCGATAGCACCAGATTCCACAGGTTAACAGCCCTACAAGACTGTTCACCTACCCCCAACCAGCCCACTTGAGACACCACTCCCAAACCCAGGTTGTTAACTGTCCTTCTGAACTTGGCAGACTGGCTATAAATTGGAGGTTCCCACAACCCCTCTTTGGGTTCCTTAATTTGCTAGAGTAGCTCGCA